GGGGGGGGGGGGGAGGAACGTCTCTCCGGAGACCTGGGAAATCTCTACTCTGAGCACAGGGGAAGAAATGTGGTCAGATTTCACCAGTGGTTGCAGTCCGAGGTATTCATCCAAACATGCAATCACAAAGTCGGAGCCAGACTCCTGAACACAGAACCACCATCCAACCTCGGGGGCCAAATCACAAAGCAAAGTGATCAACTTTCCTTTCTTGGTTTTTTAATGTACTCGTTCTCTGCTGGTTGGACTGGAAGCCGGAGAGCTCCAGACCTTCCAAGCTTCTGAATCATGAGAAGAAAACCGAACTTATATCTACAAGAAGATACTGGCCTTGGCTCCTCAGAACTATTAGGGACCTTATCAGAAAAGAAACATTTTAAAAGGAGAGATAGCAAAGTCATCCTCTGAGGAAAAGGTCGGACCAATCAAACTTTATGAAAACTTAGCAGTTCACTATTTTCTTCTTCTTTTAAGTGAAAATATGAGCCTCACACTGAGAGAAATAAAATATACGAAGCTTTTCTTCTTCCTGTCCAGTAAAGATGAATTCATATGTCCTAACTATATAGGGAGCAGCATAGGGACATCATTTGAAAGCAGAATAAAAACAACACCTCGTGCCTCATGCAAATCAACTGGGAACGCACAGTACTAACTACGCGTTGTGTTAGGGTAGCTTTGCTGTCACCCCATTGTGCATGAGTGTCCCTATTTTCCTTGAAGGCAGGTTGCAACCAACACAACAGGAGCATCCTTAAAAAATTCCAAACCCAATGAACCCACAAACTAGCTCTTGCTGGGCACATGGTCTTGGAAGTATAATACAAAGGTGAACATCGCTGCACACAAGAAAATACAGCTGCTTCTCCAAAGCCTGGGTCTCACTCCTAAGAATATAATCAGAATTTCAGAAGCAAGAAAAGCTGCAGAGAGCTATTAATCCTTGAGAGGAAGGAGCAAATCCTCCTTTTGAAATACTCCATTAAATCCCCAAATCAACATGTAAGGAGATGCTGCAGAGAAAGGCTGTGTAAGGAAAAACAATTGGCTTGTTCACTTGTGCTGTAGATTTGTACATCTGAATGACTCCTAATCTAATCTGTACATCTAAGGTACTTCTAATTCCCTTTCCTTTTCTAGCTCCTGGCTGCCTTTTGATCAGATAAGCTAGAGAAATCTCCTTAGGCGTGTGTGGTCAAAGCTAGTGAGGTCAGAAAGTAAATCCCTTTCCCTGCCACCCTTTGCCACGCATGGACCAGGCGTGGTGGACCTGATCACCATGTTCTGCTTGGTTTGCTTGCTTGGATTTTTCTGGCGGCGGTCATTTCTGGAGTTCTGACCCTGCTTTGTTGCTCCTTACCTTCACCTCCTAAGAAATAGCTTTTTAGCAAATAAAAACAAAAGAGAATGTTAAGAGCTCTTCCCATCCATGAAGGAGAGACGTCACCGCCGATTTCCCTCATGCACACAAGCCAGGAGCCTGGCTCACCTGGCTTGCTGAGCGTGTGCTCCACACCCCCTCCTCTGGATACCGTGCCCACCTGCACGACACTCCCCTGGCCAGGGCTTCCTGACACCATGATCATCTTAGGACCGGCCTGGAACGTTCTGAGGAGACACGCTCGCATGGTATGGTAGATGGCTGCCACCTCGAAGCATGCCAACCTCAGGGAGGAAGGTGAGGGGTGCTTAGAACGCCCTGATCCCAGGAAAAGGACTGACACTATTCTAGAGCCTTGAAGGCTTAAAATTGCTTTTTCCGCCTTTCCTCTCTGAGCAGGCGGCACACTGTGCAGATGCACCGGAACCTTCCGGCTCGCTCTGGCCAGCGGAGGCACCTATCCCTTGTGTTTGCAAGTGGAAAACCTCAGGGACCTGGTCCGTCCGTCACTTAGCGGAAGCAACCCGGATGGTTATGGAATGGACCACGGGAGAGGCCAGCAACTAAGGTATTTTTGCATCATTGTTGTCCTGGATTGATGTGTTTTCCAAGTCCTACGTCAGTCTGTACAACTGTGGTGAGGAGGGATCTAGTCTTTGCTTCCCGGGGGGGTGGTGGCGGGGGAAGGCCATGTTTTAGTTCACGTAATAAAGCCAGTAGACGATGTTGAAGAAAGAAAAAACCACCGGGAAGAAGATGCGGGACCACCGGTCAATGGCGTTCACATCAGTCAAGTCGGGGATGGTGATCTTCAGCTGGGAGGCCCGTCGCCGCAGCCGGCTCTTCTTCTGCGCCACGTGTCGCTCCAACGCGTTTCGGCCAAAACTGTGTCTGGGCAGGCCGGCTTTCCGGTACTGGATGCTGGAGGCGTCGTAGGCCAGCATGGTGCTCCGGGGGTCCCCCAGGCCCATCACCGCGTCGGAGGTGGCCATCTCGTTCTTGATCTCAAGGGTGCTCAGTAGGATATTCTCATGAGGGTCCATCTACAGGGGAGAAAAATCAGAAAAGACAGCCCACACAGTGAGCCTTTATCGGGGTTCACAAGGTAAGGGGCTGTCACCGTATCGCAGGAGTGGCCGTTGGAAAGACAGGCACTACTGCTATCTCCTTGCTTGACTCTGCATCAGGACTCTGCTACGACAGGCTCTTTGAGATTCAACATTCCCAATCTAGGAAATGGTCTGAATAGGCCAATCCAAGATGATTCTTGTACTGTCATCTTTTTTTTGGGGGGGGGGTCCGGTCGTGGGGCCTGAACTCGGCCTGGGTGCTGTCCCTCAGCTCTTCAGTTCAAGGCTTTTTTCTTTCTGCTTATGTGGTGCTGAGGAATGGAACCCAGGGCCTTGAGCATGCAAGGCAAGTGCTCTACCACTGAGCCACCTTCCCAGCCCTGTACTGTCATCTTGTTGCTATTCTTTTCATTGGGTTTACTCAGAGCATGAAGAAGGCATGGTCATATTTTTAAAGAATGTATAAGCCTGTGAAGGTCAGGTGGTGCAGGACTGTAATTAAAGCTACGCAAGGAGGTAGGGGCAGAGGGTTCAGAAGTTTAAGGCCAGCCCAGGCAGAGTTAGGGAGAACATCTTCCAACAAAATGTAAGACAAAAAGGCCAGGGCCATGGATCAAGTGGTAGAGTGCTTTACTACCTCATGAGAAGCCCTGTCTTTAATCTCTAGTACCAAAAACATGGGATAGGAACACACAAAAAGTTAAGCTGCACTAGGTTTAAGATAATGGCAGAGAATTCATAGCACGTATGCATGTATGTGTATGCATGTGTGTATATATGTGTGTGTATATTATATATGTATATATATGAAGTTGAAAAGCTGTGGGGTAACCATCCAGTGCTTGCTCTATAGGGCGGGGGCTTTTCTGTATAATTTCACTGAACTGCTACTTCTTCATGTCCATAGCTAGAAAATGTCAGGTTAAACTTGCAATGTTGACCTAAATAAGGCACAGTGGTATTTTTCCACAATATAAAGCAGGGAATCTGTGATCTACAGAAACACAGCTAGAATCCAGAACAAGGAAGGTTTTGCAAGTAAGAGAGCAACAACGGGACACAAGCCTGGCGATGGGGGTGTGAGCAGGCAGGCGGGCCGTGAGGGGAGGAGGAGAGCGGAGAGCACCCCACAGTTGACTACTCTGTTGGATCCTGGGTCTTGGGAGTAGAACTAAGTTGACTGTACAGATAGTCCAGTCATTGCTCTTCATAATTTCTTTGTGCAAAGCTTTTTGAAAAGGGTGACTACTGACATGGTGATTTCCAGGTATGAATATATTGCATAATGCTCTGCATTGTGTTAATATTCATGTGACTTAATAGTGAGCATCAATTGTTATGGATAATAAAATACCACAAGAAGCTGCTATTAATGACAACCTGTTTATTTTGGTAGAGAATAGGCATACACCAGCTGCCCCTAACATTTTAGATCTAAAAGGAAAGGTGGCGGTGACAGGCACCCATGAGTGGCTACAGAAGCATTTAATTAGAAGACAGAAGGTGCTCTGAGCCTCATGGATTATGCGGGCAAAAACAGCGTTGCTGTGATTACACTCCACCCAATAGCTCTCCAAGGTGCTTTAAAGGCCTGTGACTATGAATTCAAATAGGAAGTCTTCTGAGAAACAGATTTTCCAAAGTCACACTGTGAATAAATAGGAGTGGAATTCAGGCCTGATCCTAGGTGGAAGTGGTTCTCAACACTCAGGGAAACTGATACCAATAGTGTCAGGAGAAGGGTAGCTACTATTCCTCCGTACCCTCCTTCCTTCCCTCCCTCCTTCCCTTCCTTCCTCCTCTTCCCTTTCCCCTTCTTTCTCCTTCCCTTCCCTCACCTCCCCCTTTCATTTTGCTAGCACTAGGCTCTGAACTCATACCTCCATTCCAGCAGCTGAGCCACACTCCAGCCACCCTCTCCTGTTTTTTTTTTTTTTTTTTTCTCCACTGCTTTTGCTTTCGTTGTGTTTCTTGGCAGGCTCTCACACTTTTTCACTGGGTCAGTCTCTCACATGAAGTTGGGATTGCTGGCAAGTACCGCCACCTCCAGCTTGTTCTCTGAGGTTAGAAACTTACAAACGTGTTTCCCCAGCCTGGCTTGGAACTACGATCCTCCTATTTCTGCCTCACACGCATTACAGGCCTGAGCCACAAGCCAGCTATTCTGTTCTTTGTCATTTCCATAAGTTTACTTTCTGTTTTTAGGATGGCTGTCCACTTCTTCAACCACTTAGAAATAACTTTTGAGTGAACTTACTTTGGCCTCTGTGCACAGTGACAAGAAGCACCCCCCCCCCCCAAAAAACAACAACAACAGGAGTTTGCTTTTCTCTTGTGTGATTTCAATAGCAAGAACAGTTACAAGCTGACACCAGACCTGGCTATGATTTAAAAGTACAAAACAATCATGATAACCATAATAAAAATCATAGGCAGCTATTAAGAGAGGCTCATTTAAAATATAAAACAAATGATCTGTGGATAATTTAGTCTCAATGGGGTTCTCTTATTACCTAGGGAATTCAAGAGTTGAATGAGATAACTCCTGGAGACTTACACTGTGTATCTGTTCATGGACTAAGGCTGCTGTTGAACTACCACTGTCAGGCAAGGATACCACTTTGGAGTCAGAAAGCAGTTGTTTTGGCTCTTCCATTTGTTATTTTTGCCCTTAGATTTTCTTTTAAAAAGTCTCTCGGATTCTACATTCCTTCAACCATGATGGGGTCTAGGAATGTGTTGAGAAGGATTTAGGGACAGAAAGTACTCTGCCAAGCTGATAGTTAGGACAGCTCTACATGAAGCAGAAAAAGTCTAACATACTGTCTTTCTTTGTGGTCTAATTGTGCTTATTAGTAAGCACTTCAAATGTGGCATAACCACTATCCACTAGACAAATAAATTAGATGTTTTTTTTGTCGGTCATGGGGCTTGAACTCTGGGCCTGGGCGCTGTCCCTCAGCTCTTCAGCTCAAGGCCAGTGCTCTGCCACTTGAGCCACTGCAGCCACTTCTGGTTTTCTGAGTGGTTTATTGGAGATAAAGAGTCTCTTGGACTTTCCTGCCTGGCCTGGCTTTGAACCAGGATCCTCAGATCTCAGTCTCCTGAGTAGCTAGGATTACAGGTGTGAGCCACTGAGGCCCCACTTGTACATTAGATCTTTTACAAGAGCTACAGTTGACGGTCTTTCAACGCTATTGGAGATCTTGCCAGCGAAAGGGGGAGGTGATTGTGGTGGATGAGGTGTTCTGATTGATGAGCTGGTATCAGTCCATCAGTGAGTGACCAGTTCCTCCTCCCAGCCCTCAGTCATGTTATTAGAATTCTTTCACCTTCAAGTACAACTTGTTGTATTGACTCAATTAGGGCTATTCATAATCCAGGAAGAAAAAAATTTGTTTCCAAAAAATTCTTATCTATGACCATGAGGCTGTGAAGAGGGGTAAGATACAATCAGCTTTATTTGTAATACATCTCTCAACAGAGACGGTAAACAAGGCTCCAGCAGGCTTTAGCGCACTGGGCACACCAGAGCTCAGGCCTAAGGTAGTGTTCTCGTTATCTGTTCTTCTCTGAAGGATAGGTTTTCTCCACCACTGGCCCTCTTTTCTAGAAAGCTTTTCATAAATGACCAGATTCATCTAAGAATCCCTCCCGTCACCACACCACCATTGTCCACCTGGTCCATCGGTATGATCACCAAGACTGCAAGTGCTTTGGAGCTCTGGAATGGTGGCCTGCCTGTACCTGGAGCGTCAGGTGTTTTCTAGGAGAAGAAGGGACGTGGGGCAGCGTCTCCTGCTTCCGATTCTGCACTCGGCCAATCCATACTTTGACTTTGGTCTGACACAGTCTCTCGCTTTGCGAGGCTGAGACAATCCTTCAACCTCTCTGAGCTCAGCCTCCCTCTATGTACGGTAGGAGCACCAGCTTGGGTGAGGACACCTCCAAAGTGCCACAAAGCGCTCAGCTCACCTTCCCCAGAGTAAGCACTCGACCCAATACCACAGATGCCCACCGAGTGAAGAAATCTGCTTGATCGTCGACCAGAAAATGAAGGTGAGCAAACCAGAAGCATACAATCATCACTTAAGACTTTTTTTGGGGGGGGGGTTTGGTTCACAGATTCTGTAAAGTGCTAAGAATGAAGCCTAATCTTACTGCATGCTTTTGTTACCAAACATAAATAATTTTATTAAAATTATTTAGTAAGATGCCTAGGTTGAATTATTTCCAAAGAGAGGGTGAGGTTATTTCTTGGGTGGAGAGGTAAGTAGCGGGTTGGCAGATATTACTAGCTTGCCAAGATTCTCAGAGAGCACAGCATCTTCCTGACCACAGAAGGAAACAGAGCTCAGAGATCCAGACTAATGAGAGACATGGCCAGGGCTGGGATGACAGCTGGGGAGAGCCTGGTGGGCGTTCACTGGAGACCGCTCCATCATCCTTCCAGACCACACTTCTTGATAATGAAATACAAAGTTCTGTCTCATTCACGGGGGCAACTGACATCTGGCTTAGCTCCAGGCAGTCGGGAGTGAGTGGAAAAAATTAATCTTATGATCGTTCATAACTCACTTCAACTCTTTAGGAGTCAATGGTCGTCTGGATTTTATTTCTCAAGATCATTCTGAAGGGTGGAAATCCATGAGGCTGTATGTGAGTTTCGTGACTGCTGGGAAGTTTCTCTTATGGGTGTGGGTGGGGTTAAATACGGCACTAAAGCTGAAGATTGGGATAGACACCTGCTAACCGCAGCGCTTTTGAAGTCGGGAGAGAAGGCAGCTGTGCTTTGCCTGCGAATCAGCCCCAGTGTTTTCCTTGGAGTTCACGCCTCTCCATTCTGTGCCACTGCTGTGGGTGTGAGCCAAGCAGAGCTCTCAGAACAGTGTGATTGGCTCAGTGATGGGCACATGACTTTTGCTGAGCCAATCACTGGCGAGCTGTGAACCCCAGAGTGAAAACCCTCCAAT